TTGGGCAGGATGGCGGGCAGAGCCGGCAGCCGCTCCCGGGACTGCTCCAGCCCCGACGGCTTCGGCTTGCAGGGGCCGGGAGGCTCCCGGGAGCCCCCACATCCTCCGGCCAGCCCCCCGCCCATCTCCTGCAGCTGCTTCTCCAGCTCCCGCACCACCAGCCTCATGTAGTCAAAGCTGGCTCGGGACAGCGACTTCACCCACGACTCCATGGCCGCCTGGCTCTCCGCTGCCAGCACGTAGGTGCGAGACTTGGTGCCGCCAAAGCGGATGGCGAAGGCAAAACCCTCGGCTGAATCGCAGAGCTCCACGTTGCAGCCCTCCAGCACGATGACGCCCACGGGCTCCCGGCTGTCCCGCTCCTCGAAGTAGAAGAGCATGTTGCCCTTGAGCACGAACCAGCGGCGGTGATAGGCCGTGTGCCGCTCGCCTCGCTTGTACAGGAAGCCGGAGTTGTCGGCCGGGGAGTCGCAGGTGGCGTAAAAAGCCAAACTCCGCTCGTTCAGCTTCATGGCTCCGCGCCCTGCGGGGACAGAGGGTGCTCAGCGCTGCACGGAAAAGAGCCGTGGGATTTGTGTTCCTGCCGGCAGCAGCCCCGGCGCCCAGCAAATGGAGATGGTGAACAAACAAGGCCGGGATGGTTGGGATAAACCCGCTCCCAGTCGAGGGGCTGGGATGCCGGGTGGGCTGTGGCTTCCCCCTCCAGGAGAGTGTTTTGGCACGGAGGAGCCCCAGGCAGGGCTTGTCGCGGTGCCACACGTCACCTGGCACAGGTGACCTTCGCGCCGGCGCGCAGGGAGGGTTCTGGCCGGCGCCGTGGATGTGGCTGCCGCTCCAGGGAGCCGTGGCCATGAACCCTGACACCTGGGCAAGGCCACCGCTCCTCTTGTCCCCTAATCGCTGGTGGCCTCGCCGGGCCGGGCTCTCCACCCACCTGCACTTTACCTGCGGTCTGCGGCGGTCACCGGCATCAACGACACGCGCGTGGCCGCGGTGGCCGTGAGAGCGCTGGATCCGGGCTCGGACGGTGCCAGGGGGCTTTGGGCCACCGCTCCTGCACGGTCACCTTTGTCCTCGGCTCCCACCGGCCCGGCCCCGCGGGCGGAGCGCTGC